GGGGCGTGCTGGGCTCTGCGGCCGGCTGCCCGCTGCTGGGCAGGGCCACGTGCGCTTGACGCCCTTGATTTTCCCCCCCTGCCATCCCTTGGAGTGGGCTTCAAGCACCCACCAGCCTGGAGCAGGGCATGAGCCAGTGCCATATCGCGGTGGGTAGGAGCTTGGTCAACTGCGGAGGAAGAGATGTCCATGTGTGGTTCAGGATGGCAGTGGGTGGTGCCAGTCTGGAGCCAGTTGCTGTGGAAGACCCACAGCATGTGACCCGTGTTTTTCTGTGAAACCTGTGGGCTGAGCTGTGTGGGTTGGGGTCCACTGCAGTCCTAGCCTGTTGGGGTGCTGAAAAGGTGGTGGAGGCTTGTGATGGTGCTTACAAGACAGAGCTATCTGTTTTTGAATGGCTGAGAACTCAAGCCCATAGGTAGGCTGCCTGTGCCGGCAGAGCTGTGGTGTGGGTTTTGCAGAGCACCCAGATTGAGTGGAAGCTAGAATGGCTGCCTGCTCTAGTGTCTGATATGCAGGTAAAAAAAAATTATGGGGTTATATGGGACTTCTGCCTCAGAAACATACTGAAAAGTGTGTGTGACTAATTTACTAGAACTTGGAGAACACATAGAGTAGTAGGACTGGAAGAGACCTCCAGAGGTCATCTACTCCAGTGTATCTCAACCCATGGGTTGTGACCCAGAAGTGGGTTGCAAGAATATTTGAAAGGGTCACAGACAAACTTTAAAAAAAAAAAAAAAATGGATCAGCAAGCTGTAACAATGGATTGTCCTTTAAAGGAAAGAAAAACATGGGAAACCCTAGGTTTTCCCTTGCAGGCCGGCAGAGATCCCTGCCTCACATACCCACCCCTTGCTCCACGCGGGTTTGGGGCAGCAGGTCATGAGTAAGGGGCACTGGGCTGGGATAGGCCAGATGTTTGTTTATAAATGGGTCCTGGTACAAAAAAGGCTGAGAACCACTGATTTAGTCCAACCCTGTTCCTGAGATGGGGTCATTCCTAGCCAAACCATCCTGTGCTATCCAGAGTCTCAACCCTGACACAACCCAGACCTAACACCCTAACCTGCCACAGGTAAAGCAGGAGAACCAGGCCAGCTAGTGTCCTGCTTCTATGTAATGTAAATATATGCTGAAGAGATCTGGGGTAGAGGGACTGTTCTTGTGCGGAGTTGTTCTTGGCTTACTAAATAAGGGTAGTGCACCTTGTGTCAGACAAGAACTGGTAGAACTCAGTCCTCAAGTTTGCTGTAGGCAAACAAGGGACAGTCTTGTGAAGTGTTAGAGAGTCGTTTGAAAGGGCTAACTCCCCATGATGAAAGGGCGGGCGGGGAAATAAGCAAAGCTGACTAGGAAGAAAAAACTGAGAATTGAGTTACTGAAGAAGGATGTAGCTGAAAGGTCACAGTTCCCTTCCCAGTTGGACAGGAGACAGATCCCTGCCATTCTTGACATTCCTGTCCAAGAATATCTCGAGCCCTGCTGCTGAGCTGCTCTTTCCAGTTCATATATTGTGTGATGGAGCTCTAGCGAGTTCTGCAAATGCTGGTGTCTCCGCTTCTATAGATCAACAAATTGGTTTGGATTTATTGTTTCTTGCAGGCACATTCTTCCACTCTGTCCCTCTCATCTCCAGCTGGTCATGTATTTCTTATTACCCAACCATTTCCCTTCTCCTGTTGCCCCTTCTGCTAATCGGGGACAGAGATGCCTCTGCTACAGGTGCCTCCATCATGCTGCTAAAGGCTACCATTTCAGGAGAAAGCAATGGAAATTCACTGTCCCAAAACCTCATTTAAAGTCTACACCAGTGGTTCTCAGTCACCGTCAACTAGAGGTACCCCTTGTTTGGCTTGAGGCATCCCTTGGAATTGCCATCTCTTAGCTTTTGCTCTCTCTCTAGTCAAAACAAGAGTTGTTCTTCTGTTGCAAAGAACTCAAAGACCACAGCAGGTCAGAATGTATTGAATGCTGTGGATTCCCATTTGAAATCTCTTGGTTTACCTTGCAAATCATGTTTGCACCTCCAACAATGGTAACATTGTGTGGCATCCTGGGGCACCCTTGAAAAAGATCTCAAGGCACCCCTGGGTGCCACAGAACCCTGACTGAGAATCAGTAGTCTAGACTGACCCACGATTCCTTTTACCTTTCCACAAATGTGAACTGAAGCTGTACCTAACTCTAGTTCCTAGCTTCCTGGGATTTAAGATGACCTCCTACACTGAGCAATGCCCTAGTTTATATGTCAGACAAGTACTTTTTCCAACCATAAAGAGTAAATGAAAGGGAGTTTGTGAGGGTAAGGATATAAAGCCCTGTCTTAATATGATCAAGTAGAGTTTAATTATGTCTTCATTGTGGCATTAACATGGGTCCTTAGATTTGTCTTGATGCTTCTGTCTACACATTTTTCTCAAGTTCTGGTGTACTTTCAGTCCAGGCTAGCTGGCCTCTCTGGGGTCATGAGCTATAGGTCCTGTGCAGCTTTAGTTGGTTTGGATACCTACCCATTTTTCTGTGCTCCAGTGCTTATAAATCAACTAACTAGGAAAAATCCTGAACCTTGATTCAAAGAAACATGAACTGTGCTCTCATGCATTCATAGTTGAGTGCAGGTACAGCTGGGGTGGAGAAGGGTATGGCTTGCTGTGGTACCCACACAGTGAAGATCTGAACTAAGCTTGACTTACACTTGCACCTTGTTTAAAGAAGGCTGTGTCACTGAAGGCAGGTGCATATGTTGGGTTCTGATAGGCACAGGTTATACATAAATTACTTATGTTTTGAAGCTTATTCCTGTTTCTCAATTTAGTGAGATGTTGGTAAGTGATTGAACTGTACTAGTGGCTGTCTTGCAGACACTTTAAAGTGTTTGTACATTCATGGATTTTTCAGAGTAACCAAGGCCATGGTAATAGCCTACTAGGATGTTGTGCACATATGGTGAGAGCAGTTGCTCTTGTTCATTTTTTTAGCTAGGCTGCAACCTGGTTTATAGCTTTATCTCCATATAATAGAGGATCGTTATTAGGGGTTGGGTTGGAAAGGGGTAATCTGAAGAGTGGTATCCAAAGTCTTATCTTTAAAGTGTACAATTGTTGGCATTGGCTATTTCATATCACTGTTTTCTTCAACAGGAACTCTAGGCTGGAGAACCAGCCTCAAAGGCATTATGGAATAACATCTCCAATTAGCTTGGCTCCTCCTAAGGAAATAGATTATATTCACACACAGAAATTAACTGAAGCAATGAAGCCATTTGGAGTATTCGAAGATGAAGAAGAGCTAAATCATAGGTACAACTTCTAATATACTGGAACAATTTTTTGAACAAACTTTAAAACAAAGACTAACAATGCTTCTTGTTTCAGGCTAGCTGTTCTTGATAAATTGAATAACTTAGTCAAAGAATGGATTTTGGAACTTGGTGAGAGTAAGGTAAGGGTTTTTAGAATTCTAATCGCAGCACTAGGTAAGAGTAGAAATGAAGAAGCACTTTCTTTTACTTCCCTGCCTTATTTTATCCTGCAGATGCTTATACAGGTACTCCTCACTTAATGACCTACCTGTTTAACGACCGCACGGACTTACGACCAGTGAGAACTGGTCGTAAGTACGAGAACTTTGGTCGTGGAAACGGCAGCGCGGCGTCTCAAGCCAAGGCACGCAGTATCAAGGGGCGGCTCCTCGCTTATCGACCAATTCGCTTAACAACCTAGTCGCAGGAACGGAACTCGGTCGTTAAGTGAGGAGTGCCTGTATCAAATTCAGGGTACCCCTCTTTTCCATTCCTCAACCCTCCCCCTGAAGAATAATAAACTTCTTATCTACATATTAGACAGTAAACTTGCAACAATTATTCAAGTAAATGTGGAATATTTTAACCATCTAGATGTTTAAGCCTATTTTGGTGGGTTTTTGGGTTTTTTTTTTTAAATGAACTTGTAAATTGGCTGTATCTGTTTTAAGCTTGATAATGGGTAGATCTCTGGTTAGCCATAAAATCTAGAACACGAGAACTTCCTCCAAAAGAACATTCTGGGAAACTCACTTAAAAGCAGCGGGTTGACTTTCTAGGCTTGAGCCAACAAATCTGAAATACTCAGTCTAGCAATGAAATAACCATTTGTTTCTAGTGCACTGGCTGCATCTAATTCATTCAAGTGCTCTTCAAATTTGTGTAAATGGACATCTACACTTTCTGCACTCCAAATGCATGTTCTGGACTACTTTAGTTGAATTTTTTTTTAATTGGATCAGCAGATAACTGTAGTTCTCATTTTTTAGTTGGCTGGTGAGCATATTGCGGTTTCCTTAAGGTAGCTAGGATGATAATCTCATAGATAGGGGTTCCCAACCTTTTTATGCTGGGGACTGGCAAACTGCGGACCAAAAGTGACTGGAATATTGCAGATAGGCAGCCAACCCTTTTTACACACACCAAGTATAGAAAAGGGTGGGGGGGATGGCTGCCTGTCTGCAATTTGCCAGTCACTTCCGGTCTATGGCAGCCAACCCTCCTGCAGACTAGCAGCCAACCCTTTGTGGCCCAGTATCAGGAACCCCTGATATAGATAGTTTCTCTGCTTTGCTTAGTGGTAGATAAGAAATTGTGGCACTGCGCTCAAAACATCTTAGGTGTTGTAACTAGCAGGATAAAGTGTGACTTCATTTCAATCTTAACTACCAAAACAAGCTGGCCTAAGTTAACTTTCTCCGTTATAATGTTAATCACTTAAAAGTTTTAGATCTTGGCTTCAAAGTAAACACTTAAATTTTGTATTTCTGCTCTATCTGTAGAATCTTCCACCTTCAGTTGTAGCAAATGTTGGTGGCAAAATTTTCACATTTGGTTCCTATAGGCTTGGAGTACATACCAAAGGTAAAACTTTAATTCTGTCTAGTCACAATTTCTTTGTTACTAACTTAGTTGTTTAACTGACAATTCATGAGAGATCTTTTTGCAGGAGCTGACATAGATGCCCTTTGTGTTGCTCCTAGACATGTGGAAAGATCAGATTTCTTTCAGTCGTTTTTTGAAAAATTAAAACATCAGGATGGAATCAGAAATTTAAGAGTAAGTTTGCTTTTCTACAGAAAAATGTTCCATCAAGTTTTTGCTGTTAAAGGGACATAGTCAATTTAACTCAGAAAAACCCAGTTGGCAGATAACCAAAATCCAGTTTCTCTGGGCACTCTTTACATGCTGTTGCACAAAATTGTCTAAAATGCTAAGTTTGAGAAGTCAGGCAACCAAACTAGAGTGTTTTGTGTGACTTGTCTTCCTCCCTGGTATATATACGTTCATAAGAATTTTCAGTATGTAATTGCGCTGCTCTTTTCTTTTTCTCTTTGGGAATGTTGTCTCTTGCACTGGGTTGACCTCTTCTGGCCATGAGTCAGATTTGTAGTAATGACATTGTCTGTAGGGCCCTGCCCTTATTGCTATAGAAGTTGGAAGAGGCATGATGAATAAGGCAGGAGTATGCAAGAGGGGAAGACCCCCATGTTTTTAAATATTTTTGGAGAATGGGATTCTTTTCCTGCTTCTGATACGAGTCATGTGCTTTTTGTGTAACCTCAGCAGAGCTGAACTTGAGACCGCCACTGACCATTTCTGAAAGTCAGATGCCAAATTTGGTGGGAGTAATGTTTTGAACATACCCTTACTGTGCCTTTAAAAAAAACTACTAGCACCTAGGTGCATCAGACTGGGTACTCAAAATCGGTTCAAGTTTTTTACTCTGATCTTTAGCTCAGCTGCAGATTTTTAAAATGTAAACTTTACTTGTGGTTTGTTTGTTTTTTTTTGTTTGTTTTTTTGTTTTGTTTTGTTTTTAAATAAAACTCTTCCTTTTGTACATTGCAGTGAAGATGACTTTGAATACTTTACAAAAGTCATTGCCTACCAGTAGTAGTTATGGGCTTAATGTTATGATCCTACCTGGCAACCAGCCGTACACCAAGCAACTTAACTTTTCTCAGTAACTAGTTAAGATTGTTCAGTAAAACTTTCAGGGAATGAGGTTAAGCCTGCTGCTTGTCTGCCTTTCTATGGCTTGTTTGGAACTTGCCTGGGCTTGTTGGCTTCAGATGCAGGAAATCTGCAGCTGCATTGCTGCAGTTCCCTATTCTCGCACCCACTTTTTTACACTTTGCATGATAGATAAAGTGACTCATGTGGCTTCAGCTGCTTTAGGGCAACCCTGCAGTTAATCCTAAATATCACAGTATGTGGATACTTCTGAGCTTCATAGCTCACTTATGGGCAGTTTTTCAGTGGACATTCCTGTTGGGCCTGGTCTCCCCAGTTGTTAGGCATCACATGGAGTCAACGAATCAAGGCACGCATTGCTCTTCAACAACTTTATTCAAAATGGAGGCAGCTTCAGGCAAGCTCCAACAAATCGGGGAGCAGCCGCAAACATTAGTTCTTTTCATATTTATACACCTTGGTTTATACTTATTAACATTTATCCTACCTTTGTCATTCCTTCCCATCTTAAGCTCTGCCTGTGTTTACTGTTTATTTCATTAACATGGAATTACCTATGCATTTTACTTATTTACATGTCTTTTTGCTATGAGCACATGCCTGAGAGACTGGCCCCTGCTTCTCTCGGTCACTTACAGTCTCTTGCTGACTTCCTCACCATCTCCAAGGTCTTACTTCTGCATTATCTCCTAACAATAGCCAGTGGTCTGCATCCTGTTTTTCTTGCACAGTGAGCTGTATATCTTACAACAATACTATATTGTTAGGAAAATGCTTGCCTAAGTGTTTTGCAGTGTTACTTTTAAAATACCATTCTGCCTTGTGGTTAGCAGCTTGCTAGGCTACTGGCTATAGCCTTTTATTCAGCTGCAAATCCAATGCTCCCCAAGGTTCAAATACTGTCACCCTAACAATTCCCATGACTTTATTGCATATCCATGCCTTGCTCTTAGAGCCTGTGAAGAAACTGTCTTTATCTCATGCAATTGAATCTGGCAAGGATCCTGTTGGGAGAGAATTGAATGATGTGATCAGACTAGAACATGCACAGGCTTTATGCCACCTTCATTCTTGTGTGCATCTTGCCTTTTAAGTGCTTGATTGACCTTCATTTTAAGAGGTTTCTGAGAGTGTAGGTATGGGTATGCATCTTCCTAGGCTTTAAAATAGCAAATTGGAAAAAATCGGTGCCATGACACTGACATCCATACAATTAACTGGCAGAGTTCAAATCTGTAGATCCACCATAGGGATTTCTATCAAGTGAGTTAAAGGAGTCACATAGCAGAAGCTGTCTAACATCCTTCCTGTAGATTTGAGGGGAGCTTAGTGAAACTTTAAAATAGCTGGCTAGAACCAAGGCCTTTTCTGATCCTGATTTTTATCAACAATTCTTACGCATGGGAGAAATAGGAAGCAGTGGAAACATAATACAGCCAAATACTAAATAAAAGCTCAGTTGTCTTACAAACTAACTAGATCAATAGTTGCAGAAATTTCAGATGAATGTGACTTTGACACTTAAGGCAATACTTACCTGAAAAAGTAATAGCAATTTCTCCCCTCCCCCCATGTAGCACATTTTTGATGACTGAATACTTGACTCTCATTATAAAATTTATAATGACACGTGTTGATACTTCTTGGCTGTCATTTGATATAAATAATTGTCAGATGCAAGCTGGTCATAGCAGACAATCAGCAACTCTGTTCTTCATGTCAGCTGAAAGGACTGTCTGTCCAGGACATAATGACTGGCCTAAGTATTGTATTGCATATATCTGAGCAGTTTAGCAAAATGAACTTGAGCCAGTATGTTTAGGTTTTGATGAAACTCTCCTCTGCCCTTTAAACTCGGGAGTAACAGGGTAAGCCAGAAGGGGAAATGTAGCAATTTTAACAATATGAAACTTCTTTCTTCACAGGCAGTAGAAGATGCATATGTACCAGTTGTCAAGTTTGAATTTGAAGGTATTGAGGTAAGAATTGGTTTCTTAATCTGTTATTTGAAATATGGGTTATTTGCAGTTTGCTTTGGAACTGAATGGTTTAACAGAGCCTCTAATCCTGTGCACTGACACTTCAGGGAGATTTGTTTTTAACTTTGGTGACAATGTTCAAGAAGCAAAGATCAGGGTGGTAGGGATGAAGAAAATGTGTAGGAGTCTTTGGTTTTTTTGGTGTGTTTGGGTTTTTTTGTTTGTTTTATAAAACCCTACACACCCTGCCTGACTGGCAGTGTCTGCCAGATGCAGGAGTTTTTTGATAGTATACTTTATCTGAGGGCCATCATGTATGGATGCAACTTGCTTAAAGTGAATCATTGGAACATTACACTATCAAAAGGTCTTAGAATGATATATTGTCTGACATTTTAGCTCTTCATAAAAAGTAACAATGAGCACACGTACATATGTGCTTTACTGCAGAGCTGGCTAATTAGCTCCATAGTAAAGTGTCACGGTCTACATGTGCACTCCTATTAAAGTGCAGTAAATTAACTAAACTCCACTGTAGGGTAGCATTGTCCAGGACCAGTACTATCCTGCAGTAGAGTAGTTGCATGCTCTGAAATGAAGATATAGATGACTGGGGCTGGCTGGGGCACAAGGGTGCTACAGCCCAGCACTATATAGCATCCTTATGTTCCAGCCAGCCTGTCTGCAGACCTGGGCTGGCAGGCTGACTTCCCCTGCACCGCCCCCTCCTTCCCCCCCAGCCATGCCTCCAAGCTCTCTGCCAGCCAGGACTGCTTCACACCAGCTCAACCTGCTGTAGTCCCAGGTGCATGTGTAAACTCTGCACCCAGGGCACAAACTACTGGAGTTTATTGCTACATGTTAATTGCACATGTAATATTGTTCACAGTTATGCTTAAATAATCTAAAAGTTAAATTCTGCTTCAGGAGACACTAACTATTACTTAAGCTGTTGAAAACCTCTCATTTTGCAACTTGTGTTCCTTGAGGTGCTGCTTGTTTCTGGTGTCTAAAGATACTGGGCTTGCAGTACAGCTGGCCTGATTGTACACACAACTGCCTGTGCAGCAATCAGCTACTGCTGTCAGGATTTAAAACAAACAAAGTCAGAAGAAAGGACAGAGTAATAGTACTGAAAGCTTTGTATCTCTGCAGATGCTCCTTTTTTAAGTAAATACTTGTTTTTCAAAGTGTAGAGTATCTGACTCTTCATACTCTTGAAATATCACTTCCAAATACTGAAAAATGGCTACGTAGCTGTGCCACAGCGTACAGCTTAGGGCCCACGTACTTCAAATTGAGCCATACATAAGACAGTTGTAACCCAAAACTACCTTGAAATACCCGTTTCCCTCTTCCAGTTCCTTTGAGTGCTGGAGGTCTGCAGTCTCTGTCAAGATGTTCCTGCATGCAGGAGTCACATATACAATAATACCCTGATGGTGCCACTTGTAGTGGCTCCCCATCTTGGTGACCCAGTACAGCGTTGTTGAGGATTCACACAGCTAGGGAGAACTTGGACTGCTTTGCCCCAAGCTGCTTTAATAGTCTGAAGAATTTGGTCCCAAGTAATGCTGGCTTGAGGATTTAAAGACTTGCTCCTTTCCACTGAAGTTGGAGATGAACTGTTTCGTAGTCAGCACAAAACAAACCTAGCATATGTAATACCACACTGATCATCAGTGCAGAGAGATTCTCCCTTACCTTTAGTGACAAATAATGGAGCTGGCTGAATTATTAAAAATGTGATTTTTATATTTTTCAGGATCCCTAACTTATGATAAACAGGAAAAAAACCTTTTTCTCCACTAGAAGAAGGTGTGAAACAAATGTGATACTTCCAATATTAAGGAACTTTTGGGAGATTAATTTCTTTACAATTCCAGAGCAATCCGTCTTTCTGGGTTGATTTGTGAATACTTCTGAGATGTTGAAAAGCAATGGTGTTTTAATGGTCTTGGATTCAAATTGTTTAGCTTAGTGTACCAGCCACTGATTAGAATGTTACATTAACTTTTTATACTTTTCTTTTTAAGATTGATCTTGTGTTTGCAAGATTGGCTATACAGACTGTGTCTGATAACTTGGATCTTAGAGATGATTCACGCCTGAGGAGTCTGGATATAAGATGTATACGGAGCTTAAATGGTATTGTAAATGTAACTTATTTATGCAACCTAAGGAGCTTTCCTTTTTACACAAAGCAAATGATTTGGTGGGTTTATTGGGGGGGGGAAAAAAAACAAACAAATACTACCCAAACCAGATTTTAACAAAATATAGTGATAAAGCTAATGTATAGATTTGTAAAGTAGACGGGGGGGTGGGGGGGGGACTATTGGCTAAGACATAAGCTGGCACAGTGATGGGTAGGTTTAAAAGTAGTTGTTTTTAGGAAACAGGATAAATGTCTGTTCATGCCCATTTTTTTTAACTTTGTACCAGTGCCATTGACTTACCCTTCAATATTTGAATCCATTTTTGCCCTTTCAAATGTGAATATGCTGTATAAATCACTAGTTCACACTGCTGCATGTAAATTAAGGAAAACAAAGCAAGGGTGTGGGAAAAGTGGCAGTGGTGGTTCAGAATGCCTAAACACTATTACCTGGATTACGGGTAAATTTGCAGGTTGGATACTGGTAAGAGGCGAGAGAGGTCTACAAGCAAACCTTTAATTGCTTATATTCCAAAACTCTACTCATGACAGCACAATATAGATTTTTACATACACTGGCTAAAGAGGCTTGAGAGTAGGGAGGAGGGTGGCAGCAAGCCTTCTTGATTTTGCTGTTCACATTTTTCTCCAGCCTATCTCCTGTATTTATAGATGAATTATTCTAATAAATGTTCTCTGATTCACTTTAATTTAACATTTAAGTTTCACTGACATTTTTGGGACTCGCCTTTTAAGTCCACAAGGTATCTGGTTCAGCTGTCACTTGGGATTTATGCCCTTGGGGAAGTAGAAAGATTGATTTGTTATCTCTTTCCTTCCTCACCAGGTAAAGCTGCTTGCTACCATCTGGGGGTTTTTTGTTTGTTTGTTTTTGTTTTTTCTTCTCTTCACCTTGGTTTACAGTCTTCACTGATTTTTAAAGCTGCTTTTTTAACAACATAACTAAAACTTTTTAACAAAACCAGCATCTAATAATTTGGTTAAATCAATTGCTGCTGCTGCTACTACTACTAACATTTTAAGATAAGGCTATGATATACTATATTTGGATTATTTAATATAGTCTCATAATATTTTGTTTCAAGCCTTGTGCTCTGCTCAATTGGAGCTCATGACTGGTTTAGTTGGACATGCTGATTGCTTCCTTTTTGCTTTCTGCTTTAGCCACACTTCTGCAGCTTGACCTAGGCCCTTTGGAAATGGCCAAGGTTGGCAAAAAAAAAAAAACCAAACAAACCCCAAAAAGGCCTCGCTGCTCAATCATCAGTTTTGTCAAATAGTCTATGGCTCTCCAAAATGGGAACTTGGCTTCTAAGTCCTCTTCTGATCTCATTCAGAATGGCTGTTTACTTAGTTAAGTATGGCTTCAGTCTAAACTACACATTTTGTGCACAAGGAAGCAGTTCATACTGGAGATTACTCTTGCATCCCCTAACTGTAGTAAACATGGGCTTCAGCAGGTCAGACTTGGGTGATGGCCAAGTTATGCTTGTTAGAAAAAGAATGGCACTATAGAACTATAAGGTGGGAAACCTAGCACTGAGACTATTAAATACAAACACTTGAATCTCTTGCAGGTTGCAGAGTTACTGATGAAATTCTCCATTTAGTGCCAAACAAGGAGAACTTTCGGCTAACACTTAGAGCAATCAAACTGTGGGCAAAACGTAAGTAGACTACCGAGTCGGTCTATCTTGCCCTGTTGGGACAGGGAAGTTCTAGATTCTTGCTCTGAAGGCAAATGAAACAGTCTGGATAAACACAGCTTTGAAAACGGGGACCAAAATTCCCTCTCTCAACTGAGTTCCATAAGCATTAGCATATAGTTAAGGCTCTCGACTGCTTTCCTTTTAACCTCATGAATCTTGTATTCATTTCTGCACAATAGTCCTGCATTTAAAGGAGTGGAACAAGCTCCAAGCCTAGGATATAACCTGGTAGTGTTGGGGCATTCTCCTGGGAGATGTGGCATCGTAAAAATAAGTATTTCCAAAGGTGTTCTGAGATCTGGTTTGAATTTAATGCAAACAGTCAACCTGATTGCATGCCTTAGCTGCTTAATTTTGCTTAGTTCAAAATATCAGTGACAGGAAAATCTTTGGGTAGTGCAGTGTGTGCACATTAGTGCATCTCTTGATATGAAGAACTTTTTTCACTTTTTTTTTTCTATACTTGCATTCCAGCTCAAATCTGCCTCCACAGGAGAGGCCCCTGATAGTGTTACCGTTTCTGAATCAACATACACTTTCATAACCAGTTACAGGTTTTCTTACTTTTTTTTCAGTGAAACTTCAGTCGGTTCTAGTCTCTGAATAAGATCTGTGGTGTTGTAGCCCTATGTAGCTGGGGTTCAGAGTTGCTGAAGCTGAGTATAGCCTCTGTCCAGATCTACTATGACTGGGAGCTGAGCTATATTATGTGTGTACACTGATAGAGAGAACTGCAATTCAAGCAGTTAAGTTGTTATTGTTGCTTACTGATGGCAAAACCCTTTGTCATTGTTCTTCATGTAGTTGGTCTCAGGCCCCTCTAGTCAGGCCATGATGGGGAAGTACTGAGTTTGACACACCTTTCCTAGCTGTGCAGGGGTTGGTGTAAATATCTTGAAGTCACGATGGATCTGAAAAACATGGGCTGGGTCAGCTCTGGGAAGATGGATTTTTTTTTTTTTTAATAGAAAAGGGCAGAGAAATTTCAGGATTCAAGTGAGTGTTCTGTGGGAGTGTTAGACACCTGTAAAAACAAAAAAAAAACAAAAAAACCACACTGGCAGCATAAAGAGGAGGAAGGCAGTCTTGCTTGCCTAGCTAGCCAGATTAGTACAGCTTTATAGCATTCTTGGAAAACATCAAACGCCTCCCTGTTGGATAAGAGAAACTGGAATTTTTCTTAGTTTTGTGGTGAGAATAAGGAGACTTTGGTTGTAGGAAGTAATTTGGTTAAAACCAGTTACATAACTCTGGTAAACAAATTTGGAAGAGAATAGTCTTTATTCTTTCATGATGTGCAACTAACTAACTCGTAAAATGTATCCATTCTAGGTCGCGGAATTTATTCCAATGTGCTGGGATTTCTTGGTGGTGTTTCTTGGGCAATGTTGGTAGCAAGGACATGTCAGTTATATCCAAATGCATTGGCATCTACTCTAGTTAACAAATTCTTCCTAGTTTTTTCAAAATGGTAAGTGTTGCTGTCTATAGGAAAAACTAATCTGTATAAATACAGATTTGTCTAGTAAAAATAGCTGTACACTTGAAATTAGTCAACACCTGCTGTTAAGATGTTAAGCACTTTTTAAACCACCTTAATTTGTATAAGAAAAGACTAAATCATTTGCAGTTGTTACTGTTTGATCTCTCTTGTATAGGGAATGGCCCAATCCTGTGTTGCTGAAACAACCTGAAGATAGCAATCTAAATTTACCAGTCTGGGACCCTAGGGTATGTAGATATTGCATATTGTGCTTAATTAACAATAATTTTAATTCCATACTAACTGGAATCATTTTAATATCATAGGTAAACCCATCTGACAGATACCATCTAATGCCTGTAATCACACCAGCCTATCCACAGCAGAACTCAACATATAATGTGTCTACGTCAACAAGAGCAGTCATGGAAGAGGAGTTCAAACATGGTAAAGCAGTTTAGTCCTCCTCATACCCTGATAGCCTTTTTAAATCAGTTAAATATATGCCAAGTAAAATCATGTTCTGCTCTTTAATGACATGAAAATACATTACTATGTAGATTACTTATTGTTTTATGGACCAGTCCTGCCCTGGCAAGAGAATGGAAAAGTTATTTGTAAAAGGTGAGAAATAGAAAATTTAAGTTTTGGAGCGGTATGGGTGAGATGACCATGTTTCTATGATGTATTGAGATTAGTGTAGCAGATCACCTAGTCTTTTATAGACCAAACTCCTGTTAACTTCCCTGCTCCTCCCCCATTTACTTATATTACAGAATAACATCTAGCTCTTGGCACATCCATAATGCTCAAAAGTTTAGTACCAGTAGTTAAATAGAAATAAATGGGGCTGTCCTGATCAGTTTGCCTGTGGAAGTATAACATAGCAAACTTTTTTTCTTTTTTGTTTAATCTGAAATGCAGGTCTTGCTGTCACGAATGAAATTCTCCAAGGAAAATCAGATTGGCCAAAGCTCCTTGAACCGCCAAACTTCTTTCAAAAATATAAGTATGTATGGAATCTATTTGCTTAATCTGAAATACTTGCAGCTACAATACAGTTGGAATAAGATTTTGGTTACTGGTTAAAATGGAAAGATTTTTTCCTAGTTGCTAATACTTGCATGGTAAGGATCAGAATTAAGGATGGATAAAATGGAGGAAAAGGTCCAGAATTATCAAGACACTGGAAAGCGAGGAGTGAAAAGCATTACACAAAGGCCAAATCAAATACAAATTGAAAATTTGGAATAAGTGGCTAGGTAGCAGATGCCAGAAATGGCTGTGGTTAGATGCTGTTGCATTGGAGCTTCTGCTAATATATCCTTGATTCCTATCTTAATATATGAAACGGTTATTCTTCTAAGCTTGACGCAGTGCTTAGCTGGAGAACCTGCTTTGGTTTTAGGCTTCATGCTTTTAAGCAAGTGCTGCTTTCTGGATTCCCTTTCTATATAAGAGTAAGTCTTTAAAACCTGTAACCTGTGAGGAAATGTTGAAGGAATTGAGTAATCTGAAGTAAAAATTGAGCAAGAGACACAACTCTTCTTTGACTTGAACACTTCTGCTTTATAAATGAAAATGATTACTCAGCAGCCAAATTGAACGGGTAAAGGACAAGAAGAAATTGACTTAATTTTGCAGCAAAGATGATTTAGGCTGGATACTGGGAAACTTTTTGTTTAGAATAGTGAAATGTTAGAACAGGTTTACCAGGTATGTTGTGGAATCTCCTTCAGCTTAACAAATCTGATTCTGCCTCAGGGTGGGGGGGCGGGGCCTGGGTAAGATTTCCTCTCTTGAGGTCACTTCTGCTTTCATGCGAAGGGAGACTTCTTCCCTGCTCACCCTCCCATTCCTATCAAGCATGTGAGGAAGTATTGACAGTAAGAGCTGATAACATAGTAAGTAAAATGGTTTTTCCAACATCTGGTTCAAATTTGAAGTAAAAGCAAATTAGAGCCTTGTTTGCAAATTGAAATGGTCAAGCGGCTGCATTAGATTTATCCAAAACACTACATGAATTATAGTACTACTTCACCTGGGTGAAAGTATTGAACATACAGGTACACATCTGAAAGGAGGAAGTCATTAGCTGCACATAAGTAATCCTAAAAAATAAAATAGTGTATTAGTTTTGCAACACTAAACTTTCCAAGTTACATTCCTAAGGCTTTTACAATTGCTCCTTAAGCAACAGTGTAATAGTATTTTGGATTCTGGCCAAGTTGCAGCTGTGCTAGCCTGTATACAGTGGAGGATCCTAAGAATTATAACTTTCAATTTGTTTTCAGTATAACTTTACACTGGGTAATGCATAGATCTTGAAAAGTTTGTCAACAAGCCCTCATGGTCAGAAGTCTTTGAACTGACTTAGCTCATTTTCTGTTCTTTGGGATCAAATTTAAGATTGATAAAGCTGAGTCCGTGGTTTGACTATTTTCAACATTTTCTAGGCATTACATTGTGTTGACTGCTAGCGCCTCTACTGAAGAGCATCATTTAGAATGGTAAGTCTTTTAAGAGTAAACCCAAAACTTAAACAAGTGAAAGTGAGTTGGCCTCTCTTCATTGTATAAAGAGTAAATGGAACATCAAACCCTTCATTGCTTTTAACTAATGTAGTTAATAGCAAGTTGCATATCTGTTCATTTTGAACACTTCAGGAAAGCCTCTGTAACATTCCCAAGACAATTAGTCTTATTTTATCAAAACAAAACATTTTTGGAATTCTTCTCTTTTTGGGAAGGAGTAGCTGCAGACAAGTGCTGACAGGTCAGGTCAGTGATATGAAGAGGAATGATGTTGCTTGTAAAAGAGATGCTATTAAAAATCTGAATGGTCTGTTCATCACAATTTTCTGTTTTTACATACTATATTTAGTCAAATATAAGTCAAGGTTTTCCTCACTTCCCTCCCCCCCCCCATGTTGATGGGGGGGTAGGGGGCAGGGAGGACCCTCACTTCACATTCACATACAAGGGAACCACACAAAATACATTGTCCATCACTAAACTGCTTCCAAAAGCAGCATGTGCTCAGTAATGGAAACCTCCAAGAATTAGACTGTATACCTGGCAAATTATAACAAATTTATAAATTTTCCATCAATACAATCACACTATTGAGGGGTTGTCATATAATCAGGGTTGTCCTATGTTTGAGGAAATTCAGTGGTGGCTTTTACAGAAGTATGATCAGTGAGGGTTTTAAATGATTTGGGACATGAACAAAGAAAGGAAAAATGAACTGCATGAGTAAATTTGGTTCCAACTTGAGCGCTCTATGAGTCATAATTGGGACTCGTTAATGTATTTGGCTTGTGATGCAACTGTTGAGCCTCTTCTGAAGTAACATTCTTATCTCTTGATCCAAATGTAACCTTTCTCTTTTTATTTGGAATCATAAGTTTATATTGGGGCTTACAGTTACATTGTACTCTAATTGTTAATTGGCTATCTGGTCAACATTATGTAGTCTGCTCTTAAATGGACCTGTTTCAATAATCAGCTTTTTTTCCTGTGGTCTAGGTATGAAGTTGCACTTAATGAAGTCTAAACATTAGATTATTATAAATTAGCTCTTTTCCCATTTAGGTTTTAGCTATTGGCTAAGTCAGTAACATTCCTTTATTCAGATCAAACTCTTATTTCAGAACTGCAGGCAATGACAATTCCAAGATGGTAACTGTAAACAAAGCTTTTTAAGTAGGTAACTGAAAAGTTTAGTTTTCTGGAACTTTGCAAGATATACTGAGGTGGGAGGAGAAGAGAACCTTCTAAGAGCAAACAGTGATTTGAAGGAAGAAAAATCACTAACAGAATAGTACTGCTTGCTTCTAACAAAGTTAATCACTGACAGCCTGACTACCAAAGGTAGCAATAGCTGGTAATTGAGATTTCAAGCTGCATATTCCCTCCTCCCAAATTTAATATAATTTCCAGTGTACTCTTAAAATAAATAACATTTGTTTATTGGAATACCTGGGCAAGTAACTTTTTAATGGCTTCTTAACTTTAAATCTTTGGTTTTGTATTAAGGGTGCCTATAACTGTGGTCCATATTTAGGACCACCATAGATTATACCATATCTACTTGAGTAGAAGACAGGGTGGTCATCATTGTCATGGTGTCCTCTCCCTCCCTCCTCCTCCCCCTGCCCCCAGTCAGCATGGGGGGTGGGGGAGAGGGGAGGCTTCTTATTGCATACAAAAAAGCTTATTAAATATGTTATCCATCATTAAACTGCTGCCAAAAACCGCTTGTACTTGGCAATGGAAACCACCTGTGAAATTTGATTTAAATGCACCCAACCCTGAGCATGACTATATAAAACAACCTGCTGCATCTGACTAGTGCAGCTCCACCCTCCACGAGGTTGGACTGGGCTGGGTCACCTTGCACCTCATCTGCAGATAAATTTTTGTGGGATTCCAGGACTCATGACAAGAGCACCCAGTTCCAGTCATGAGCAGGAACTAACTAGCACATGGATCCTTTGGTGCGGGACAGGGGAGAGTGGTATCTGGACTATGCACACATACTGAGCAGTGCTTTTCTGTGGGGTCACCATGCCTTAAAATGCTGTTGTTCACTGGGCTGGGCCCCAGAGTCTATATGGTAAAGCATGAGCCTTTTAGTCTTGGACTAATATCATGCATAGTGGCTATCTCTACACTAGATGCTGCTGCATATAAACAAGTACTAAATAAATGACAGGAACTGGAGTTATTGCACAGTAGCCTCTCTTTTTAAATGATACTGTGCAGTAGCCTAATACTGCTGTGGAGTAACATCGCATCATGCTTTCTGCCACACAACACTATTGTGCAGTAGTCACTGGCTACTGCACAGTTGGTGTCTTGTGTAGATGCAGCCAGTTTGTATTATATTCAAGGTGGTAAAAAAGTGCTGCCTAAAATGTTTATAGAGTACGTGCTAAAACTTGCAGCAGTTTTCAAAGGAGGTAAACTGCATCAATTCCAGATGAACCAAGTCTATGTGTTCCTGTAGTAATTTGCCCATCACTTCCATATGCTCAGGGAGAGCAAGGTCTAACAGTAAAGTAGGGCAACAGGGAAAAGAAATTGGGGGAGACAAGGGGGCTACCTGACCGCTTCCAGATTAACTTGCCCTGCTGTAGCAGTGGGAGGGGGACACATTCAAGGCAGACCTCCAATAATTAGATTCTGTACCTGGAAAATTATAACATTTTCATATATAGAATATAACTTTTAGCGGAGGTTGCCTTAGTCAAGTAAATACAGTACCTGCCCTTCCTCTAATACAAGCTGGTTTCTACAGGGTTTTGTTTTGGTGGTGGGGGGGTTGTTTTTTCAAATTTAGTATTTATCTAGCACTTCTGATTTTTGTTTCTCAGTGTAAGGACTGAAATTTGGCTCTAGTTCCTTTCAGTTTTTTTAAGGCTCACTCTTGCTCACTCATGCTCTTGCTCTCCCAATAGTTTGTATGCATCTTTCTTTTATTCACAGACACCAAAGCCTTTACCATACTTCCTTCAGTGTTCCCTTTGCATGCCCCTCTACTAACCACCCTGTTCTAGCACTCCTACTTCCAAATACACTGTAGTAATTGGTCCTGGGAAGAGAATTCAGTAAAGGGACAATGCAATGGTGTCATCTGTAGGAAAACATCATTAAGCTGGCAGTTCTGGTAATAGCAAAATGTCCAAGTCAAAAGGGGGAACTTGTAGATGCTTACCAGTGTATGGGTTCAGTTTAGTTACTATGAGTAGGGACCTACCAAAATGGTGGGTTGGTTTTTGTGGGTTTTTTTTTTTTTTGTGGACAATGTCTATAAAATCGACGGGGGGAGGGGGGAGATATACTTACTGAAAATAAAATGACTCCCCAGAGGAGTTTGTAGTCCTCACTATGTTGTGACCTGACCATGCAGACGATTGGGGGTGGGGAAGAGGGTGGAGAGGTGGCTGCTGGCGCACATGAAATCCTAAGAGGGCTTCTATCCCCTTGCTGCTGATTGGCTGAAGGCTGCCTATTGTGAAGCTCCATCCCCTCCAGTTGGTGGTGTGGTGGAGCCATGTGATGGACAGCCCTCACAGGCAATCAGCTGCAAGGGGCAGGGCCATGGGCCCCTCAGCCGGAGGCATTGGGAAGCACTGGCCATAAGCCCTCAAAAAGAGCAACCTGCCCTGCAATCTGCCTGCAAAATTAGCCAGTTGCTATTTCAAGTTGGGTAGACCCCTACCCATAAGTACTTCAGCTCTCTGTGTATTTATGTAAGTAAGAATAACATGTAACAGGGCATGTTGTCATATTTGCTGCAGCACTTCAGTGTTCATGATTTTATATTTTAACTAGATTGCTAGTTGTCATAGGAAGTTATTTGACAATAATAATCTGTAAAATGTGACAGAATCATTTATTCTGTATTGTATGCTTAGGCTTGTCTACAGAATACCATGGTCAACAAGTCTGTATTTAGCTGTAGGTTTGTTTTGACACCTAGTGTTTACACAGTTCATAATGTAAGATGCCTTGCTTCTACATACAATAAAGTTCAAATAAATAGATACCTTTTTTCATTTCTCTTGTATACATGGCTTAGTTCTATGAAGAGAGAGCCATAGTTAGTGCACTAAAATCTTCTAGTACAGTGACATTTTTAAAAAAGTTTTTTCCAACCTGTGGACCCCTAGGACTCTGCAGACTAAGGGGTCTGCAAAAGATTACTATAATCAGTCAAAAGTGTGCGAGTATTGGGGTCTGCACCTTCAGTTCATACTGGAGCTCTGACTAATCATACAGCTTTTTACATGCAACACAACTCCTGTTCTCCCCTGCCTGTCCTTCCTGAACAGTTTGTACCTGTCCATGACAGTGGTCCAGTCAAGTGAGCTATCCCACCAAGTCTGCTGTTCCAGTCACATGGTACCTTGACTGTACAAGGACTTCCCATTCTTCCTGCTTGCTTCCCAGGCTCCATGTGTTTGTGTACAGGCACCTGAGCTGACTAGCTGATTTACCCTCCTTTCTCAGGAAGAATGAGGAAGTTTCCTCTGTAGCCCTCTCCTCCTTGTGCTTCCTCTGGGTCTCCCTCAGCATACTGTCCTGGTGTGAAGGGCAGTGCCAGACCCCAATCTTGATGCAAGGGGTCTGCAGGGTGCTGCACCCCTTGTCATCCACGGCTGCAGTCCCACTTTATCTCAGATTCCCTCACTTATGTTGGCTAACTAAGCAGGTGCTTTATCCTTTCTGAATTATGAGGCAGTTAACTATCTTGTGCACTAAAGTAAATTTTAACATTTTCTGTTCTTATTAGGGTTGGTCTGGTTGAATCTAAAATCCGTGTACTTGTTGGAAACTTGGAGAGGAATGAATTTATCAATATTGCACATGTAAATCCGCAGTCTTTTCCTGGCAACAAAGAACAATATAAAGAGTAAGTTGTTTTTTTTTAACTTGAAGAAAAAAATTAACAATGAGCAGACCACCACATTTTTAAAAAGCTAAGTTACACATTGTTGATGTTTAGTCATGAGCTGTCTGCCAAGAAAGCTTGCAGAAATAATTACAGCTTCTGGAAAAGTTACTACTTGCATGATTCTTGATTTCTGTATCACTTTAAACATACCTAAGGTATATTGAGAATTAGTGAGGTACTGTATTGATGATGGTCTACCAAAGCACTTCATGGATTAAGTACAGACTGCATTCTTAACTAACTTTTAGTGTACAGGTAAATTTTTATGTTTTTAACTTATCCCTCTCTATTCATGCTAAAATTTCCCTCCCAAAGGAAGCTGGTATTTATGCATAGACTTGTAAACCTGTATAACTTTTTTTTTTTTTTCTCCTTTCTCCTTAGGAGTGACTATGTATCAATGTGGTTCCTTGGAATCATTTTTAGGAAAGTGGAGAATGCAGAAAGCGTTAGTATTGATTTAACATATGATATACAGTCATTCACAGATACAGGTAAAGCTGTATTTTACTCTAGTCTTGGTCAGCTAATTTACAAGACTGACGTTTTACTAATTTGAGATTATGCATCTTCCAGAATTGTGAATTTTCAGAGATGGAATGTATGGGGAAAACCAGTGTTTGCCAAAATGGGAAGTTACCTATTGTAAAATAATCTAACTTGGAAGAATACCTGCAATAACCATACTATGTAGCTGGGGGACATGGTGCATAGGGCAGTGGGAAGACAGGCAGCTGCTGCAACTCTAATCCTGGGTCAGGGCTGGAACCAGAGCATCTGCCTGCCCTCCCTTCCTCTCCTCCCCTCATATTTGAAATCAAGATGAGGGGCTCTTTCCCATGTGGGGGAGGGGAGGCAGATGGAGAGAGACAGTCAGTCTCCCCCCACCCCAGGGCCTCTCTGCCAATCAGTGCTTGTGGGGGGGGGTGCTACTGCAAAATGGGCTTTTTATGCTGGGACAAAGCTTTGTCTCGCCATGAGCTAAGTAGGTCCCTAAATATAGAAGTAAAGTGGCAAAACTAACTTGACCCTCTTTTAAATTCTAGTAACATGTAATACCAAAGATTAATTGAATCTAGAAGATATATGTTTATACATTTGATAGCATGTAAGTTTTTATTTTCCTGGTATGCTGTTAACCTTTCTCATTTTAGATGATAAATCTGGTGAGCAAGAATACTTGTGAGAGTACTAGCTTAAGTGTTTGGTTACAAGGCCTCAGTCTCAAGAATACTTGTGGCATCTGAAGCTTTACTGGATTTCTTGTACTTCAGCATTGCTTGACATTTTAATTATTTTATTTGTGTTGGAGTTTCAAGGCATCTCTGGTCACCAGGGCAAATACAACCTTTCAAAAAAACATGAGGCCTAATGAAGAGTTAGGTTAGCAGTAGAACTGAGAATTTGTCATGGGAGGGGAAAAGTCAGTGCATGGTCCATGTTTGCAGAATAGCTGGCATGCAATAAAGCTCCCCGCCTCCTCCACACCCTGCAGTAAGCTTGTTTGTTGTGCCCATAACTAGACTTTGAATTCAGTGAATTGGAATCAATTTTTTGTCAGCTTCAAAAAAGTAAAAGCAAGAAGGATTTTTTTTTTTTTGATGCTTAAAGATACTTTTAAGATGCAGATTTTAAAGATGCTTAAAGACTGCAATCAGTTGTTTGTTTGTTTTTTTTATAGAAAAGATGTTAAACTTAAATAGCAAGGTTATAACACAAACTACCAATGTTACTTGGACTAGATTGGATATAAAATGGACTTCCCAGCATGCGTTTCCCCTGTCCTCATCTTGAGAACTGGGCCTGAATTTGGAAGAATTTGTGATGCTGTAGCTTCTGTTACTGAAGCTTTAGTTTTAAATAAACTCCAGAATGCTGGAAGATTTCCAGTTTGATGCTTGCAGCCTGTGTATTCTTTTTAATTGTTCTTGTAAAATTGTTTTGGAAAAGATGTAATTTTGGTTGAAGGAATTGGAACTTAAACTAACTGTTAAGCTGGTTAATTGCATGTTACAGTTTACAGGCAGGCAAATAATATCAACATGCTAAAAGAAGGCATGAAGATTGAAGCAACTCATGTAAAGAGAAAGCAACTTCACTATTATTTGCCTGTGGAAATTTTACAGAAAAGGAAGAAGGTACGATCAAAGTTCATCCTTTTGTAAAATCAAGTACACACGAAAATGTGAAGATCTATTTTGTAAACCCTCTGTTTTTGTTTTGGTTTTTTATCAGAGCATACCAGACATCAGTCGAAATGCTGGCAGCCTTCAGTCCAAAAGGATCTGTTTGGACAGTTCCAGAGATGTAGATACAGGGACACCATATTGTTCTCCTTCACTAAGCAAGATAATTAAGTTGGACAAAGCAGCAGAAACCGACAGGTTTGAACTATTATGCGACCTTCTTAATATGAAAGTCTTTCTGGCAGTTCTGTAACTGAGGGGTGGTGACTGGGACAGCAGGTGCTGTCTGTGTAGCAGGATTCGGGTGGGAGATTTAAAAATTGTCATTGCTATTTCTGATGGCTGGCCGAGCTGTCAGCATCCAGTGGTGCAGCAGGACTGACCAGGGCATGGAGCTGTCCTAATAAATTTAATGTAAATACTTTTTTAATACAAATACTTGTTTTGGGCTCAAATCTGAAGTCTGAAAGGGAAGAAGTTTTTATGCACAGTGAGGGCACTGTTAGCCCAATTCTTAGCTATGTAATAGTCTGTATAGCTCCACTGATTTGCAGTTCCCATGAGCTGAGGAATTATCACTTTTTTTTGTTTATCATTCACCCCCCCCCCCAAATTCCTAAAACAATGGGGTGGCATGACTAGGAGTTTGTTTGTTTGTTTGTTTGTTTGTTTGTTTGTTTGTTTGTTTGTTTGTTTGTTTGTTTGTTTGTTTGTTTGTTTGTTTGTTTGTTTGTTTGTTTGTTTGTTGACTAGAACTTTATTCTGAAAAGTAAGTCTATGACATTTCTCCTTACAGCAGTACTGTAGTCCAGAGAGCCAGTGTTGCTACCAGTAGAGAGAAGCCAGATGTATCTGCATCAGTACCTGTTAAAGGATCGTCCATTCCAGTTATTGCTTCAAGTATGTATTCAAACAGTGAGGAAAACATAAGTTGTTTTTCTAGCACTTTTGATAACTAAATTTAAAGGCTTGTTCTTTATAGAGAGGGAGACTACAGTCACCATAAAAGTCACATCTCCAGCTGGCTGCACTATTCCTACAGTAGTAGGACGAAATGTGATTCCTCGACTTGTTGCACCTCAAGTTGCCCGAAGCCAACAGCATCTAAATGGCATTTCAACAATGAACGATAAAAGTGCTGCACCTAAGAGACCTCACTCGCCTTCGTCAGAAGAATGCCCCAAACGACTGAAGGACAGAGAAAAGGTAAAAGATTTAAGAACTGCATGTCTTCAGCATATAATTAAAGGTTGACAGAGTTGGGGAGGAGTGTATAGACAAATTCAAAGTAAACTGTAGGTAATTTATATTCCTAATAAGGCTCTTTATACTAGGGAAAAATCTGGCTTGCAGATGTAGTCTAGAGTTTAACATAAATTATTTTTTTCAGTGAATGAAAGTAAACATTCTATCTGATGCTGATGATTATTAAAAATTGTCTCGGACGGCCGGAGCCGACTCGAGTTAAGTTAGAAATTGCTCGTATGTTAGGGCGGGCTGGTGAATAGAGAGGCAGACACAACGTATCGGTTGCAAAAAACTTTACTCACGCCGCTTGCAATCACGACGCAGGTGGTCCGGTCATCTGAACAACCACATGGGTTGTTCCAGCTGGCGGGGCCCAAGCCAGTCAATCCATCCGCAATTCAAGCCGGCAGGAAAAGGGTACGTCTGGGATTGCGGTCTGCGACGGGAAGAAAGATCGATAGGTGATCAGTCTATCAATCAGCTAGCCGCAAGTCGGATCTCTTTAGAGGCACTCTGCAGCGTGCTCAAAGTTCTTCGACTTGGGCGGAAGTCGCGCGGAATTTTAAACGGCCAGCGAGCCAATTACTAGCCGCCACGTGTGAATAATTTAGCACTGGCCAATAGCGGGACACAAATTTGCATTCGAATAGCGGGAACTCTTTGCACTGTGCATTTCTGTGCTGCAAGGAAGAAATGCACCCTGCAAAGAAGGCTGCAAATTGGCAGGAACTCTCTTGCACCGAGGCTTCTCTGTCCAGCAAAACCCTCGCTGTGCAAGAGGCTCTCGTGTGGCAAGAAAATCCCATTGTGCCGAGGCACCAAAAATCACTGGGTTGTGACAACAATAATAGTTGTGAGTTCTTTGAATAGTAAAATGGGTGTTATTCTGCCATTTTGATTGTCAAGGTAGTATAATTTTTTTCGTAGGAGCAACAGTTAACTAGATGCTCTGTGAAACATGGAAAGAACTCTCAAGCTAAGCTTGTATCCTTGTTGCATAATTTTCAAGACTGAGGTATTTTTGGCCTTGTGCTTGTGTTATTTGTTTGGATTTTTTAACCACAAATCTCCATGCTATGCCAGTTGACATGAATGCATGTTGGTCATTTTAAGAGGTGTTGAAACTTAGAAGCCTGACTTTAATTTATGAACCATCAGTGTCACAGAAACTGACAGATGGGGAGATTTGAGTACCTCTGAAGGGATGGAGTACTTCAGTAAACTGTTCAGAACTCTTTAGTTGACTAATGTCAATTACTTGTTTTAAGTGTGTTTTGTGTTGGGGACTTGCGGGGTAG